TACATATAATATTATATAATTTTTTAAACGAGACTTTTACAATATACGTTTCTCCCATATACCAAAGACATTATAGTTTCATTTAATACACACTTACACACATATATTTATATACATGTTACTTGTCAACGTTAGTATTTAGCAAATGGCCAATAGTTTTACGTTTTGAGAAGAAAATAATAAAGAAGAATAGTTACATTATCAACACGACGTAGTTGTGGACTACTACTTAGTTCGTACGGCGCCCGTTGGCGCTACGAGCAACCCCCCTGCTTGCCCTCCGATCCCCGCGCCTACTCCGCGAATTTTTGACGCCGTGTGTACGAATAGTACATAATGTACGTAATGTACGTTGACTTGACTACGCCCGAGAAGTGCTACAAGATAAAGCAGTCACAAAACATGAATGTTTCAAATTAAAAAATGCTATATAGTAAGAATTCTTTTTGTTTTTGTATGTCAGAGAGTTGCCTCGATGTGAAAAAGCAACTATGCACTTTCACGAAAAAAAAAAGAAAAAAATTAACTTTATGGCTTTATGGCTATCTTGCTCTTCATACGAAAAGGTATAATAGATTTTCGAGAAAATATACATAATGTATACATATGGATACGTATATATATATTTATCTATAATTTTATTAACTATTTCAAGAAGATTGATTTCAAAAGTTATCACAAAATGCACACTTAAAATCAAGCACTCAACTTTGTCTCTTTGTCATAGATACTTAAAATGTATCATCTAATAATTGTTACATGATTAGATCTAATGTCATCTTAGAAATATTATTCTGTTCTTTGAGCTAAATTTCTACATTGGGCGTAGACGGTTCTTCCGCTTTAGATTCCAACGAAAAAGGTGGTATCCTACAATCAAATGCATAACCATCTTCTCTTTCCATCCTGAACGTTCCCCTAATAAAATATACAAAATCGTTATATAAATAATTAAATGAATTGATGACTTTCAATAAGAAGCATAATCTTACTTACCACATGTGACCACTAGGAGCTTGCAGACTCACGTGACTGCTATATTGAAAAGCAGGTAAAGCTTTTGACAGTACAGGTTCTTGACCTACCACACCTCTTCCTCTTACAGTTTCCAATGTACCTGACAGACTGAATATTCTCCAATGTCTTTCGCGCAATTGCACACTTAATTCACCCAAGTTTTCTAGTCTGATACAATAGCGCCACTACATACACTAAATAATATTAGTATAATGAAGTCTAATATGGATCTTACACAGTCAAAAAATATATATTTGTTAATACAGACAGTATTATTGACCATGTAAGATCGATATATAACTATCTTCTATTAACTCACCCAATATACAGAAGTAGTTTGGCTTTCCCTGCAACCCATGTAAAATGGTATAACAGTAACGCGAATATTTTCAGTCGTTTCTTTATGTACATCCGACAGTTCGAGCCACGGATGATTTTTTTTCTGCCATGCTCGAAGAGTCTCTTGTGCAACAAAACAAGGTTCTTTATCTGGGTGATAGGTCAAAAATTTATCGAACAGTTCATGTTGCAATGCCGCTTTCTCATTTGTACTATATGGCAATACATCTTCATGGGCAACATAATCTAATCCTGGGATAGCGTATAAGCTACGACTACTTTCATGATTGCCCAGAAAAGTCACTGCTTCTGTTTGGGCACGCTATGTAAAAATGATTGCGTGGAAACAAGTAAATAACGATCTATATAAATAACAAAAATTTTTATACTAAAATAATTTACTTACTATATAAGGACAATCTCGTTGATCAATCAATACTTGATAAAATGTATGTGTTATGCCTTTTACTTCTTTCTCACCAGCACTGTTAAAATTGCTGCTTTTTCTGTGCAATATAAGCAAGTTATTTATATAACAACTACACAATGCACTTGTCTATATAACAAATTTAAATATATCTTTACAGAACTAAAAAGCCACTCATACATACTCATTTTTTTTATTAGATATATCTCTGTCATAAACCTTTGCTAGCCATGGGAATAGAATTACACCTCTGTAGCCAAAAACTCTGTGCAAAATTAACTGGCCTGTTTCATACTTTCCTTGCAGCTTTGGTGTTTCCAATTTACCAACTTCTGCTAATCTATAAAATAATTGTATACAGTATCACATACTTTAGATTACTTAGATTTTGAGAGGTCATGCATATTTTAATAAAAAGAATGCAGACAGAAAAAATTGACAAATGAGAATCTTCTTTACAACTAAATTTTCTCTATGTTTTTAATTGCAAATAATGTTCGATATACAAAATCTGATCTTTGTTACCCGGTACCTGATGTATCGCGCGTGTTGCAAACGTGTTGCAGACACTTTCAGGAGAGATCGTTTCAAATTATAGCCGACGAGGTTCCGCATAAGTTCCATAGTGGCACAAAAATTGTTATTTGATGTTTGACGTATTCGGAAGAATTTATGTCGTTGAATGGCACAATGTAAACGACTGTCGCAGCCGTGTTGACATCTCGACTGATTTTAAGCGACCATTTCAGTCGCAATAGTCACTGGAGGTTATGTTTATTTTACTGACCTTGAATGACAAGCGCGCAAATGGCGATCATATAACTTTCAGTTACACACACTCCTGTTTTTAGTTTAGCGCGCTAGTGTCGCTCGTTATCGACATCGTGTCAAAAAATCGAATTCAAGAGGATACCGCGGTATCCCGCGGAAATAAATTACAAGATAAGAAATAACAAACCGCGGTAAAAACACTGTGCGATTAAATCATTCGTTTGTTCTCAATGTTTTAAAATCTTCAATTTCTCGCGAAAGAAAGTGGAAGTACATGCCACGCTGTAATAAAGCATTTATACTCTGAACAAATTCTGCTGAAACAAATTGCCAAATTAAAATGATTAAAAACGCAAAACGATGCACTCAGGAAGATAAAGTCTTTGGATTGTGCGAAATTTTTTCTAAATGATTTCATCGCCCATTTCGAGACAATCTCGCTACACAATAAAACATTGATTTTTGCATTTATTTATTCCAGGCGAATCTTCGCATTTTCTCACATTAATAATATAAATTGTTTACACAAAACGTCACACAAAAGCAAAGAGAATGTTAAAATCATTATCTTCGTTGCGAGGTTTTTTCGCGCAATTTTCTTGTGTCTCTCATTTTTCTGCATTCAACATCGTCTTACTTTTACACCATCAAATCGTATCTAGATAGAGCTTATACAACTTTCTGTGTGAAGCCGCACCGATATATATATATATATATATATATACATATATATATATATGTATAATAAATATATATATATATCAACATTTAGTTCGAATGAGGCCTCAATATTGCAGGCAGAATTGAAAAATAACAAACATTTGTTAATTCTACTTCTCAATTCGCAACAAGCATTTTTATGTCAAATCCGCTTAATACATGAAAGAAATGTGTAAAAAAAAAGGAATGCTAAACCGCGTGTGATGTTACAAACATACTTAAACTACATTATTTTACACATACGTAACGTGATACTCTCGTATAAATTAAAGATAAATTTTAAACAACTAATTAAAGCAAACAAGAAAAAGTATGCACCATTTTAATTTATTACTAAAAGAAGAACATGTCAAATTTTAGTATTACCTTGTGTATGTGTACATATATGTTTATATATTCATTTACGTTTTTCATCAAGAATAGATATATAATCTTTTAAATATTAATAAAAAGAATTGATCCCTACATTCTCTCTTCGTTTATAATTAGTTTCAACGGTAACTGAAATCTTTCTCTTTCTCTTTCTTTTTATTTTCGAAATTTGCACTTGAATGTGCATATCCTATCATGCAAAGATTTAAAAAGTGATTGAAAAATCTGACTGCTCATAATTCAGTTATTTTTCATTGATTAAATTCCTTAAAGCAAAAATTTGCACATATTACAACAAACGTATAATCCTCCCAAGATGGATGTGAACTAATTATATTCGCTGTTCAGTCATTTCAAAAGCAACTTATTGTTGAAACATACGAGGAAGATTGATTCTACGAACATGTATAATAATCTCTATTATTATACGTGTTTTCTAGACGAATTATCTTCCGTCACGTATATCTGTGCTCCTTATTCTGTAACTTATAAACGACATTTCAGCAATATCTTTAATCATCGTTGCGCTGCTATTTGTAATACATAATTTTATCTGTGCAGATTTGCAACACATGCACGTCATGCCTGTAACGCATGCGTTGAAAGTTACAGAATAGGCTCGCTGCTTCACAACAAAATGCACGTAATATATAAATAGTATGTAGTAAGTTGCAGTAAATATACAAAAAAGCAGGTTTATTAATCGATTTCGATCGAGACCGTTGCCGCGTCAAAAAACTAGTAGCGTTATTGGAGTTATTTCTCACATTTGCGAAACGTTTCTACATCGTGTCGTAAATTTATAACATTTGTATTATTGTAGATCGACGCTATTTAAAAAAAATATCGTGAACATGTTCCATATTCAGATTTTTTTCTTTCTTTCTTTCTTTTTTTTTTTTTTTTGGTTTTTAAGTAGACTGCTTATCAAAGGGAGGATACAGGCTACAAGATAATCTGCCAGCTACACTTAGTACAAATTATATATGCATTAATAGTGGTATTGATCAATTAATATATCTATATACAAACAAATAAGACCTAACAAGAGCAAGAGTCCTTTGCTCCTTGCTGTTCATTAGTCACTCCAAGACTTGTGCGACCTGGTTGACTGGGATTATGTTGCACACCAGATTCTGCCGCATTTAGGTCCAATCTACAAAAGAAGTTAATTAATTTATAAATACACAAGTTAATTAATTTATAAATTATTATCAATTATTTACATAAATATTAATTTCGTCTTGGTAAAATTCGCCTTTTTTAACTCAACAAAAATTATAGATAAAATATTTTAAATCATTAATTATATTGCTCAACTCACCTTCCGTCTTGTATACTCTGGAATATTTTCTTTGCTGTTTCCAAGAAAGCTTCTTCTACATTATGGCCTCTGATTGAAAAATTAAACCACATATTATATTTATAATTAATTTATAATTACATATGAGAAAAAGTATAGTTTAAATTATTAAATACTAACGTCTTTGCGCTCGCTTCAACGAACATTAAACCATTTTCGTCAGCAAAATGTTTCGCTTCTTCATAAGTAACATCACGTTGTCCTTCGAGATCACTCTTATTACCAATTAAGAATATTACCTGTAACAAGAGAATTGATACATTTCCTTTTTATTACTTGATTGTTTATAAAAAAGCAATTTTCTCTCTTTATTACTCCCAAATATAAAATTACAGAAAGACATTTTGTATGTAATTTAATGTTACATACAGTGCTCGGATTTGTCAAATTTCTCGTGTCTGTCAGCCAGCTACTGAGGTGATTGTAAGTTGAACGTCGTGTAATATCATATACCATTAAAGCTCCAGCCGCACCCCGATAATATGATCTAAGAAAACATGCTTCTATTTGTACAATGTAAGGCATTACTATTCTAAAGTATACCATGTAATTTTACATTTTATAAAAGATTTTTTGTAAAAGATAATTACCTGGTAACTGCTCTAAATCGTTCTTGTCCAGCAGTGTCCCATATTTGCAGTTTTATCTTTTGTCCAGCTACTTCAATAATTCTAGTCCCAAATTCTACACCAATGGTATGTGGACAATCCGCCATAACTAAATTTACAAAAACTTTTTAGAGCTTATTCTTTAAGTTTTTAAATAAATACATGACAAACATATAGTCACAAAATATATAAAATATCTTAAGTCTTTAAATACATTTAAATAAGTTTTACATATTGTTCAATTAAAACCAAATCCTTATAATAGTAATTTTTATAGTATACAATAATTCAAGAATTTCTTTTTACAGAAGTCAGTTTTTTAAACAGAAAAGTTCCAAACTGCAATTATCACTACTGTTAAATATATGTTATCTACTATCTCATGCACATGTACACAACATGTATTGGTATGCATGATCATATAATTACTTGATTACAACATAGTCTTTTCAAAACTGTGTCATGAGAAAATGACTCAAACAATAAATTGTAAAAAAGATTGATTACAACAAAAATTCTCATACATGATTTTATACAAAGTGTGTATAAATATTTTATTACTCACACTTTTTTTCTGTAAATTGATGAAGCAAGCATGACTTGCCTACTCCCATATCTCCTATGATGATATATTTAAAAATATAGGAATAATTATATGGACCTGTCGACATTTTGAACCTGCAAATACAATTTTGGAAAAATAGAATTACATTTCCTAGTATTAATGAATATCATACAGATAGTAAAGGTAATAGGTTTATTTTACTGAGAATCACACAATATTTTTTTATTGTTGCAATTTGATTGTTTCCAAGCTTAATAACAATAAAATATCTGATATGCTAATCATACTTGGAAAAATACACACTCTTTGTTTCATTCAATATGAGATAATAGTTGCATGAGTCATAAGAGTACAACACAGGTGAGAATCTGTTAAAATAAATGTCAATGATCATCTCTCTTTATTGTTATCACAACATACACTTCCATTAAATCAAATTACAAACTTAAAACAAATTAAACACTTGAAAATTATATAGTTTTATTATTTTAAATAGAGTAATTAAAAAAAAAAAAAAAACAATCAATCTGAGAAGCGAACTATTATATTTCTTTAAAAAGAAAAAAATATGTTGACATTTCCACAATAATGGCACCTTTCATATAATAATCATCAATGAATTATTATGATAAGAACTCTACATTTAGATGCCTGTTAACCAGTTCTCGTACGGAAATGATGTTTACAACATACTATGAATAATTCATGAAGTGTCTGATAGATAATTCTCATCAGTTGTTCGCAAATTCAATGATAACGAAATCATGATATTCAAGAAACAAAAAACAAAAAGACCCGACGCAGATTACGGCTAATCTGACACCGAGAGCAAGACAAGAAACATGTGCATTGTAACAGTGCTTTTTTTCCCGAGCCCTGCAGATGATGGATCATCCGCAGTAGCGTCCAATAAACAATACACCCACACTGCTCACTCCCATAATTACGTTACGTCCAATTAGTACAGTTTCCACGACTGATGACGAACAACCAATTGTACTTGAGCAATTGGTGGGAGGACGAAAAAAAACTTCCACATGCGAAGAACAGACGCGTTGTCCGCGCTGTCGAAACACCGGACTTGGTACCAACGATAACGCGCGCCGTCCACCAGCAGAACGTCTCGGATGTCAACAATGCGGAGAATTATGTACACGTACTCACACGCTCGTAGATCGGCGTCGTGCACAGGAATCTTAAACTGGTCGCTACTGCTACTCGAACTGGAATCGCAGAGAGGCGTTGGCGTTGTCCGCGCGCTCGTTCTCGATCTGTAAGCTCGATTCACTGTGTCATCGAGTTCGCACGAACGTCGATGCAAATCTCGCTTACTCCTCCGATTATCACGCGCAATATGGCAGGCCGTGCTGACGACGATGGCGGCGGGCAAACGTCAAACCACCTGTCACTCGCCAACGTTCGGCTCGACCGCGCGCGCCACTCTCGCTGCAACGCTGCAACTTTGCTACGTCTAGCGTTTCGTGCGTTGGTTGCGTTTGTCGCCGAGATCGAATCCACAAGTTTAGCAAAAAAATATCCTCGGGAAAAAGCGGCCACGCCAAATTTCCATGGACCTCAGTGGCGTGTCAAAAAACAGGTCAAAACAGAAGGGGCAGAACAACGAAAAACGATCATTCATTCATGACGCGATTGAATATGCGCGAAGAGCGATTGGTGCATCACGTAGTGCTAGGCATGATCAATTCTTAATCGATTATCCAAAGAATCGATTTTATTGAATCGTTCGATTCTGGCACGAATCGATTTCTTTTGACACGTATCGATTTTCGATTAGCCAAACGTTCACAACAGTGTTCACAGGTTCAAGGTCCGAAATCATAGGTCCAAAGTCAAAGTCGTTTCTCAACTCTTAGATCTCTCGTCTCCAATCTCAAATTTCAGCTCTCGGATCTCGAATCTCCAACTTCAAATTTCAGTGTAGTTGCTAATCATGATATTCAGTTTTTCATGGCTGAGCAAGAATATAGGACCTTTTTTTTCGATCCACTAAGCCAGTTTTGCATCAAACCAAACCATATAGGGCCTTTTACAATAAGATATTAGTAATAAATCAGAAGTCAGAAGGAAGAAATTGACCAATCACAGACAAATCACAGAAGAATAATCGATTGTGATTAGTTACTTTCTTGCATCTGACTTCTGATTTATTACTAATATCTTATTGTAGAAAGTCCTTTAAGTACTTTAGAACCATGACCACGAAAAGTTGTAGAAACTCTTGTGGCCGTGGCCGCTCTCAGGCTTTTCTCTGACATTACCATGTACCCGTGGACATGCGCTAGGTTAGGAGTCCGAAAAATGATTACACATTTTTTTATGGGTTTGGCCGCTCTCAGTTTTCTCTCTGCTTTAACGTACTCGTACAACTTGTAAAGGTCTTTCTATGTCTTTAGTCTCACAGAAATAACCAATCATGGTGGTCGATTGGCCATTGATTTGACCAATGCGATCAATCAATTCTACGACTCAACTCTGTGTTTCCTAGAAATGGGCCTTTACGCATTGTGACTCGTCTTTTGTACCTATTCTACATATTTTGTAGTTTATGGACGTATTTGCCCAATACTCCGATACATTTACTGCGTACTTCTCTGTGAAGTGTCCTTGCTTATAAATTAAGATACCGTATTATTGGGGGGACGCGGATTAGAGGCTTGAGAGAGTTATATCCATTAATATATATATATATATATATATGTATGTATATTCGGAGATCAAAGATTAATATACGGAAGGAATAGTGAATAATCAAAGTAGCTTTATTGATATATACGTGCTATCTAAATCGTAGCTGAAACCCGCTAAGTTTCTTGGAATTTTTGACGCAGCCCTTCTCAGGTGTTTAGGTAAGATATTTATGTGTACAAATAGAGTTGAAAGAAGTCATGCAAATGTCAACATACAACAAACACGTGTACATGTCTGACTTACTGTCTTCAAGTTTTACGTCATTCTCCTTTCTGTTCGATTTTTCATCTCAAGTGTAACGCATGCGGTTTGTCTAACTTTATTGTAAGTAGTATTACGAAACTCTAGAAAGTCAAATGGATTTAAAAAAAAAAAAAAAAACAATTTTTATACTTTCTGATTATTTCAGAGAGAATGTTTAAGAATTTTTATAGACTCTTCATAACTGCAATGGTAATATTTAAATTTGATTAGAGGAATCGGAGCAAATGAATTGTGTTTGTAATATGATAAGGAAATTCCACAAAGATGTATAATCATTTCTAAATTGGCATTAGTATTAAAATTTCAAATTCTTATCTCTATGAATCTATATCAGAGTTTACAGCAGTATTTGATATTAAATTATAATTTGTTGAATACGTAATATTGATTGATAAACATGATTGTGATGTTGTTAGTTTTATAAGGAGTGCAAAGATGTTTTTTCATACAACATGACAAGCTATTGAAACTCTCTGGACCTATTAAACAAAAAATATCTGTGACCCAAAAAATGCATTGTCTATTATAGATTGTTTTAGCTATTACAGATGCCATACATTCTAGTACGTGGTAACCTAGCCTCATATGGTCATAAATATCCTTGGAGAGTTTTAGTATCAGGGCTTAAAGGTATGAACTTCTCCCCATACTTGCCCACATAACTTTTGTTTCTTCGAATTCTGCAATAATTAAATAAAAAAAAACAAACAACAAAATAGTTAAAGAATATTTAGCAATTATTTCTTTGTGAAGACTATTCTCATTCTTTTGTTAACAGCAGATGTAATATAATTGATAATTACTGGTTCAAAAAGTAAATAACATTCCAATTAAGGATATTTTGTAGTTGTAAAAAAATTTTAGATACAAATAATGGTAAATTATGTTATAGCTGCTGATATAGAACAGCTGAGTCGCTTCTCCTCTGGAGGATATTGTGACGACTCAACGATAGTATATTTACAACATCCTTGTGTAATATTGACAGCCTTAGAGGTGCTTGGTTACAAAGTCGTTGCATCTTCCAGTACTAGCGTTAAGCAAGATTATAATGAATATATGTGGACTATGAGAAAAGATTTCTCAGAACCCGAACCTGAAACTGTTATAAAAGCTGGTATGGTTGCAAATTAGTGTACCACAACTTTGAAATCATCGTCACTATGTCACATGTTATGTCACTGTCCTAACATTGATGATACATCAATCACGCTAATGCTTCTAAAACAAAAATATCTAGATTAATTTAAAGATTGGAAGAAATTTGATTGAATAATCTTTTATGCACAATGAAAACAAGTTGTTACAAAGTGTGTGTGTTTTGTGTAACGTTAAACATTAATATATTTATAGTTGAAACAAAATGCTAAAATACTTCTTATATAAAGGAGAATAATTTTTTTTAAAGGCACAAGTTTTGAATTACTTTTTAACAATATAACATTACAATTATGCAGACTATAATTTATATGCATTATTGCTGTGTAGATACAATTTTCTATAATATATATGTAAATTGTATGTGCCGTTAGGTGTCGTTGGTACATATGTCGATGTCTGTTGCGACATAAGTAGCAACATCCTATAATTTGTGTTTAGAACGGGCCTTATAAGACGACAGTGTGCGCATATTTGTTTAAACTGAAACATTTTCAATAATTTCAAAAGTTCTATTTTATGTAAAATTGTTATATTTTTGCTATGCTAATTATACAAAAAGTGTGAAATAATTGCGTGATAAATAAATACGACAAATGTGTAGTTTTTTGAGGTTATGCCTTGACTCTCCTCCATTTAAACTTCGAAAAACTTTGTTCGCAAACGTAAATAGCGGAAATGTTAATTTAATATATTACAAAAATAAATTTCTGTGAAAAACTTCAGTATAAACATTTCAGTATAAACAAGGAACTAAAGTTAGGAAAAAAACATTCAAAAATGGTGAAGAAACAGGGCAGAGTAATTTGATTAGTATAGTGTTCGTATGTTAATAAATACGTATTAAAATTTATTCGAATTACGCAAAAATATTTTATGAGAAATTATAAAGCAAATTTTCTTGTCGCACTTCTGTAGACAGATCTTCAGAACGAACGAGCTTGGTTCATCAAAGAAAAGCACACTTCCCACGGAGGCGTGTGCAACGCGCGTCTTTTCTCTCTGCAGTTGGTTATTTGTTGCAGAATAAAATGCTTCAGGAACAGTTGTGCGAGAAACGTGCGATACGAAAAGCAGCTCAGCTAGAGTTGCGTCGTAAGACTCTTGAACTAGAGAGATTGCAACGGGAATATGAGAGAGACAAAATTCAGAACGAAATTCGATGGACACATGAGATTCTTATGATGGATATTTAAGAGAGAAACGCGAGAAACTTTTAGCAAAACAGAATACATCGTGAACGATTGTGATTTTGTATATAATAGAATTGATTACAAATTATATTTACGATATAACGATACGTAAAATATTTTCGTACATATAAAATAATTTAACAATAGAAAATAAATAGTTTTTTTTCGCAAGTTTTTATTTTAGACATATGTAACAACTTGTTTTCTGTATTTGTTTGAACTGCGCTTTTCTAAGTATGTAGTAATTTTTATTCTGATGTGTATGAAATTCCGAGTTAATTTAAAAAATATATATACATAATACATTTGTATTGTATATGAGACAAAATGATAAATATTTTTTTATGTTTAGTGAAACGAAAGAGTTTCTAGCAAAAAAGTATCATAACCATATTTACGTTTTTATAACAAAAAAGTATAGAAATAATTTATATATCTTAATCATATGTGTGTTTGATATATTTATGTGCATTTTGATGCAAAAGAGATATTTCGTATTTTTCGCATTCACTATGAGTTCACTATTTTTATTTCTACACGGAGAAAACACTATGGATATCACTTCAGGAAATATAGTTGCCCCAACAAAATAGTAATGTTATTTTTCGCCCATGCGTACACTATGGTTGTAGAAACCATAGTTCTATGGAAATGACTTGTATGGTTGATCCAACATTAATGAGGATAGTCGTTATGGATACTATAACCATACGGCATTGATAATACAATAATTTTAATACAATGCAGTTTCAAATTCTTGCAGATGTATTATCAAATGCATTATTGATAAAAATAATGAAAAATCTACTTTCTTCTTAATGATTTATAAGAAATTAATATACAAAGAAAAAATATAATATTAGTAAATTTATTTCTCATTAATTATAGTACATATATATATATATATATAAATGTAGTACATATATGTAGTAAAGGTAAGTTTATATAAACTTGATAAGTTTTAAGGTTATAATTATTAATCTTATTATATTAGGTGCTTTCCAGCTACGTACACAGGCGACACTGTGTAACATAATGTCCACTAGTGTAAATGAGACACACTGATACACTCTTTTTCACATTAATAGACACTGTGTTACATAGTGTCGCCTGTGTACGTAGCTGGAAAGCACCTAATATAATAAGATTAATAATTATAACCTTAAAACTTATCAAGTTTATATAAACTTACCTTTAAAGATAGGAATAAATTGTTGAAAGCCAATATTTTTTAAAAATGTCTCCATATTTTTACTAAATCACTTATTTTTACACAATCACACTCCACCGGCTTGCTTATCAATAAGCAAGAAAAGATTTGCTTTACCGCGACAAGCAGCGCACGCATCGCGCGAAGAAATACGCTGCCTGTTCCTGCGTGTTCTAGCGAAACATTCAAAAACATTACTGCGCATGTCACTCAAATGTATCGCGTAAAAAAACCGTATGGATCCCTCAACCGTAGTATTTGTTCTACAAATCATAATAGAGAAGTATCATATTCTTTTGGTTGAGGCAACAATATATGCGAATATACTAATTGAATATTACGTATCATTTAAATATGGCTGTGCGAACTGTATAAATGAGCTTATGTCAACAGCAACTTTTGATGTAATATCTATTTAACTTGAACTCATATCAATTGCTGTTCTAACCATAGATAATGTGATTCTAGCAACCATAACAGTTTTCTCCGTGTAGGTACTTTTGGCTATCTGAAGAGATAAAAACTTAAATCAACGAATATATTAAATATTTGCACTTTCATAATTTCTTATAATCAATCTTTCAAACGTACGTAATGATATGCACGCGCATTTATGTTAGATTTTTTTTTTTTTTTTCTATTTAAAACTTCCGAGTTATTTGTTTTTATTTCAACTTTGAAGTTATTATCAATTTTCATGTTAGACAAGACTTGTTACTCTTATCTTTGCAAAGACGTATGTTTAATAATTTTTTTTTGCACAATTATTAATTTAAAACGACGTTATATTTTTATATTGAAAATTATTCGTTTATTTAACCTGAAATTTTATTTCGCTCAGAATGTTTCTTCACGTGCTTTTTATATGCGCAAGTTAAGTTCGTTAAAATATTTTTGCATTGTTTGAATTAGAATGCAAAATTGCATTACAGTTGCATATATAGAGACTGCTAATCAAGTTGACATATGTGTTTAAATTACAAGCATACACTTCAATATTCACCAATTGTAAGCACTAACTTTGGTGACAACTTTCTCACTCAGAATTTCATGCACCATCAAAAAAACATGTTTTCAATGAAATTTCATTGAAATTCCACAGTCAATTTAATTATTTGCGTAGACATGTGAGCTTTTATATATGTGATAAGTCGACAATAGAAAAAATTTATTATTTCTGTATGTATTTGTATTTGCTTTATATACAAAGTTAATTTGCAAAATTGTTTATCTATAGAGAGAGGGAGAGTTAATACTGTTAAAAGTATTTAACTTTATTTCTTCAAGTGCTTGGTGGTTTGGTAAAACGTGAAAAAATCATTTTTCGTTATCGTACACATACCTGTCTTTCAATTCCTTACACTTTACAAATTTTCTATTGGAAATATGTCAACATACAAGCTTCGGTGTTTCATTCAATCCACAGAGAAATGTGTTATTTATCCTGAAAGTGGCCTATATATATATATTTTTAACTATATTTTATACTTTACGTAATGAGAATTTACGAAAAGAAATTCCATTCTCTGGATACTCTCGCGAAAAAAAATCACGTAACAAAAATAAAAACTTTTACAAATTTCTTGTGTCAAAAGCACTTCGTACATTTTACTTTGTATGTGATTAGAGATTATTTTTTTCCAATTGTTTATTTTTTTTATCGATTATAAATAAATGTTGCAAAGAAATTGTTTGAACGTTTGACTGCTTGAAGTGTGACTTGTAGCACCCACTTTCAAGATAAACGGCTCCAATCACTCACGTCCGTCACGTTTGCTTTTCTTCTAGAAGTAAAGCACAACGAGGTATAACAATACTTTTAGCGCGACAATGGCAAAGACAACCACGCCCGACGCAACGTCCAAAAAGCTTGACGCCGCCGACGAGGACGAGGACACTTTCTATTACATCGGTGTAAAAGCGTCCCCGTTTGCATCTGATTGCTCGGTGTTTGGTCTGCCGCCTACTGAGGGATCGGCTCTACGTAGCCGGTTCCCATTGTCCGCCAGTAGCCCGAATGTCGTGAATGGAATTATGCTCAAAGGTCCCAATCTCTCTCTCACTTTTCTAAATACAGTAGTGACAACTTATAGATGGTTCTGTGATCGCTTACGAGTCAGTAAATTAGGATAATTTTTTACCATTGCTTTCATTGTTCAGTTATCAACATATTGTTTTTTTTACAAAAAACAATATAAACTATTCTACCTATTCATTCGATCGCTTCGAATTGTAAGTTTTTGTCAAAACTCGTCGAGAACTGCCCAGAACGCTAATCAGAACTACTTGAAATTCAAACAGTTGTTGTCGTTCAAGACTTAGAAAATTTTCGGTCGTGATTCGAATGTTGAGTTTCTTGCGAACCGTTTCTTGCAATCCAATCGCTTTGAATTTATAAAAGGTTTAGTTAGAATTTGTCGTAAACTATTCTCTTTAGCACACTGTGTCATTCTCACTTTCTGCTGATACACACGTTATCTCCTTGTCGTTTTCTGCGCGGTCAAAAATACCAATTTCACTGACCGCTTATGAATCAGTAATTATATGAATTATTGATCTATAAGTGGTCACTACTGTATCACTGAGAAAATCAACGATATAAGATGTATATTTTGCAGTATAGTGACTTGGTTGTTAAACAAAATCAGTTTTTATCAAAGTAATAAAATGTCTTTACGTTCTAAAAAACTTACGTTGCAAAAATTGATTTCAGGATCGCCATTCTCCGTCATAAACGCTTTAGCAGAGCTTGGATATCGAGTTATTTGTAGTACCGGAGAGGCGGAGATACTTTGGACATTGCAGCGGGAAAATTAATATTACAAAACAGACCTGATATTTCACAAGTGTACTATTTAAACACTTATAAATTATGAATACAATGTTTCTTGTGCAATCAAGCTTTAATGCACTTAGCTTAATGATGACTCGATAAGAAATTCAGACTCTGTTATCTTTTTTTCATTAACTTTTTTATATCACAAATTTTGAATGTTTCTAAAATTATGTCTGACAGAGTGTTGTCTTTATGAAATTTTACAGTGATTAAAAAAATATGCATGTATCAATTCGTGGACCAATTTAAAAAAAAAAGCTTTATTTCGAAGTTACTCAATTGTTTCACATATATACCTCGCGAGATCAAATGATACGTATATATATGAAAAAATACACTTTTAGTTAGAATAGACGTTTAAAAAATAGTATTTTATCTTCTCTGAAGTTAGTCATTGTTGTGAGCAATTGTACTTGAGGCTTTTCGTATTTTAGCGGACGTGAGACGTAACATTTCGTGCACTGCAGTAGTTGTTCCTTTTTGATGAATTTGAAAATGACGCAGTGAAATTTTATAATCATAAGACTGCCAGAGATATAGTTTCGGAGATTGAACCGCATAAAAAACTTTCTGCACTTGTGTAATTGCGGATGATACGCGGGAAAATTCGTCACAAAATTATGTACGTTGACACATAATTATTTTATGCAATATTTAGAAATATTATAGAATATGAATTGTACAACAATTTTTTGTGATATCTTTACCTCGCTACGTGAAAAATGAACTTTGTTTTAGCACTGTGAGTTTCGTGAAGGTCTCTTGTTCCAGATTGACACAAAAATAAATCCCAGGCGTTTCAAACTGATTTATTCAGCTTGAGCTATCTGTGTATATTTTTGCGAGAGACACAATTTTATATTTGTAACATGGAAATTTTATATAATATCTTTATGCAAAGTGTTATGTAACACCCATGTAGTGTCCTTTTTAATCATGTAGTTTTTGTTAGATTATATTGTACAGAGGAATTATTACGTTTGAAAATATCCGGTCCTCCGGATCGAGATAGATCAAAGTCCAGAGAGTTTGAAAGAGTCATTTAATGTGCTGCTTACGGCGTTTAACTCTTACTTGTCTCAACATGTTTGTCAATCTTATTGCAAACATCAATTTCTAGATCTTTAATCTAAGAAGTGAAACTACATTATGAAAAGAAAAATCATTATTTTACTAGTAGTTTAATGTACGCGTGTTAGAACAATTTAATTAAAAAAGGATGATTAAAAAAATTAAAGTATTTATACAGTAGTTTTCGCGCAGTTACCATCATGAAAACAAAAAAAGAAAAACGTATTGTAAGAGTAAGTGAGACAAAAAAGTTTCTCTTATTCTATGGCGAAAACTACGGCGGCATTAGATCAAAGAACCATAAAGTTTCGTGTAGACTAAACAACGTTACCAAACATCATAATACGGTAGGGATAAACACGGTGACAACAACACGCGTGAACATGATTATTGACAAATTGATCACTATCGTATTAAGCGAGGCAATGATAAAGAGTACTTAGTGTTGTAGTTTGATAGTCTGAACATTGGTACAATTTAATCATAATTTATAATGCTCGCGCTAATTCTGTGTGGCAAGAATTTTATATTTATATAAAGTCAATACATATATAATTACATGAAAAACAAATTATACATTATTTTATAATAGTCGTTGCATATTATAGCTAAATGTACACAATGGTTTATAATATATACTAAATAAATATTGATAAAAAGTGCATTTTTTGTATCTTACAATTGTTACAAGAGTATCTCTTTGCAGATGAAATAATCTTTGTTTGTTTGTTTGTTTGTTTTTTTTTTTTAACTATAAATGTAATTCAAAAGACGTTATATGGAGTCTTAACGATTATTTTCAGATATAGTAAATAATGGCGAAATCTTCTCCCTCTGAATATTGTGATAAATGCGCAGTGGAGAATTCCATGTCGAGCGTTTTCCAGACTTTAGACGAAATGGACTTTGAACGCGGAATTTGGGGAGCAGGTAAATAAAACCAAAAAAAAATGGGTTGTTACTTTATATATATATATGTGTATACTTAATGAAATAATAATATAGAAATACTTTTGCGGAATAAAACAATACCGAGTAAATGATAAGCGGGTAAAAAGTAAATAACACATTAGGTTTTGGGCTCTGCCATTATCCTTTAGCGTTTAGCAAATAGGAAAATTACGGAAATAAATTCTATACAGAATAGTTTGCACAGATTTATACAAATATAAATGCTGATAATTTATATTCTATCTCTGTAATAATCATATCGAAGAATTGACATACAGCAGACACGAACGTGAATTCTTTGAAATGACTAGTTTTACACTGAGCGTGTTTGCGCAAGTTTGATTGAAAACTTGTGGAAAGCGTGTTGAACGATATAAAATTCCAAAAAATGTATAAGTTGACATGCGGCTCTTCGTGCGTTTTCCAGCAAAGGACGGCGACTTGGATCGTGTGAAGATGTTGTTGGATAAGGGCGTTTCCCCCGATGCGATAGACTCTTCCGGCTACAGACCGATACATTATGCCGCGCGCAATGGACATTTTCATGTGTGTAAAGAACTGCTAAATCACGGCGCAAACGTGAACGCGATCACTCGCTGTATGGGCGCGACACCTCTGCACCGTGCTGTTGCGCAGGGTCACCTTGAAATTGTTAAAATGTTGCTGCAACACGGCGCGGATCCCTGTATCAAAGATGCGGATGGCAAAACTGCTCTAGACCGAGTGACCGCAATTCCGATCAATCTAGTCATGACCAGTATCGCCGCACTCCTAATAGACTATCACGAGCAAGGAAAGTGTTTACCTAAGGAGTTACAACAAGCAGAGGAGGAAATTCATCGTTATTTGGGACAAGAAGCTCTAGCAGATTTTAGGGAAGAACTGTTATCATCTATGAGGGAGAATAATAATCAAGAAAATACTGAAAGTGAAAAACAAAATGTAAGCAAGAACACTGAAAGTAAAGAAACAAAGAGTTAAGTACTGAATATGAAAATAGAAAGGTGATAACTACGGAAAGATAGTAGTTTTTTGTTTCTCACATAAACGCAGTAAAAAAAAACTACTTAGTAAATTTATATTAACACATTTTTAGAATGTCTTATTATCTCTGAGACAATTTAAAAGTATATCAACACTCAGAAAATATCAAGATTCAGAACTTTGAACACATTTTTAGAAAATCTTGCCTATTGCAATAAGTTGATTAAAAATTATCTATAGTTTTTTTTTCTCTCGAGAAAGATGACTATACAGTTGTTTTTAATCTATCATTTTTATATTTAAATGGTTTATATCAAAATAAAAAAATTTTTAATTGAGCGGACATTCTAATCTTGTTACAATTTTCAATTTTCTTATATATGAATAAAATTGCATGACAAAAAGATTCTTCGGAATAACATTCATAATCATTTTTCGTGAAATAAAATTATGTCCCTTTGTCTTTCACGACCGAAGCTTAAAGACAATGGCGGGGAGAATAGATTTTACTGTATCACAGTGATAAGAAAGAATCATGATTACGACGGAAGAAATAACAATAATCAAAATTGAACCCAATTTAAATTTTCTTCGCGGTTACCGTATAGAGTAATAATGGTAGTAGTAATAATAAGGATGAGTGTGGGGGACTACAATAATTCCTGATATAATACTTTATAGAGAACTTCAACACGTATTTGTATTACTTTTCTAAGAGATCACACAAGTTTACTTCTCTAATAACATCATATTTACTTCCTACTACTGCGAGTAAATGACAAAAGATGACAGTTTTACACTTGACCCTTGTTTGTTGACACTACCGAAACAAGCTGTTTACAAGTAAACAGCTCGTTTCGGTCATTTCTTCAATTTTCTTTCCCTTGTCGCTTGTCACGAGAAAATTTATGATCTGTCTTCAAAAAAGAGCTACCTGATCCTTTTCTAGTTTGAGACACTTTGGTCCTAAACTCTTATATCCTTAAGAAAAAGTATAAATTTCAGTGTTTTTAAAGATCTCGCGTTATTGCTGCTGGTCACGCGCGTAAAAAACGTTAAAAAAACAAATTTAGAAAAACTTCGAGTAAATATTTTTCAAACTCTATTACCCTAGTAATATAGCTAATAAATTGATGACCAATGAAGCGATAATCAACGATCAAAATTTGTAAAAGTTAACAAAATTCTCATGATTTTTTATTTTTTTTAATTCAATAATGTTCTTCCAACAAAAAACAAACATTTGATTGACAAAACATTTTTGCTGCCGAAATACATGTGTACATCCCCTATCGCGCTGTTCCGTCTATCCCGGTCTATCCGCGCGCGACGGATGGACGTGCGACCGTAGGGTCGTGCACTTGATATTGAATCGGTCGCGCTCGCGGCGCTTCGGATGTAATCGGTCGTTTTCGTCGATGTTGAGTTTGCGGTACGCAGATCGCATGGCGTACAGCCGCCGGAGCCCCAATACATTACGATAAGCAGTGCTGCCACCTATATCGCGGCAGCAAACACCCCGTTCGCGCAACTCGTTGCAACGGAGAATCGTTTAGTCGTTTCTCGTGAGTGGTATCAACCGCGGGTTAATCTTGTGCGTGCGGCAACGTGCGGTTCCGTTGCGTCGTCGTTCGTCGTGTTTACAGCCGACATTTTTGTTCACCGCACAACGAAAACGGGATTGCGGGACAATCCGAGCCGCCGTAATCGTCCGAAGAAGTTGTCCGCGTATCGCGAGCCGCTCCACTCTACGACCGTGTTCTCTCTTTCGCGCGGCGGCCACCGCGGTTCGTCCACGCCCGATTCGCTTCGATTCGCCGAACCGTTTGTTTGTAGCTGCGCAAACCGCTTCTCTCGTCGCACCGATTGCCGATCGCGCGGCTGACAATCCAGCGAGAGAGGAGGCGATGTAACGTCGTCGCGCTGTGACGTCACGCACGTCGGGTCGCGCTAATCGAGGAGAGTGTGCACACACGCGCGCGCGACACTCAAACACGGATCTGAGCGGACGGCGCGCGAGCGCGCGCGCGCTCTCTGTCCGTCGTCGTCTTGTCGCGTTCGTTCCTCGGTAAGTTTCTATTTTCCTCTTTATTCCTCTTTGCATCGTGTTGCTCATGTGTGATATACACGCGTGCGCGCACACACGCACACACACACACACATACCTCGCCGCATCGTACGTACACAATACCCGAATAAGTAAAAGAGAGACAGCGCACGCGGTGTGTTCGCCGCGTGTGCAGCAGTGAGAATTAAAGCGAGAGACGCGGAAGAAGGATAGAAACACACACACCGCCGGTAAGATTGTGAGGAATAGTATAGAAAAGGAGTGAGAACGCGATAATATATATATATATATATATAGGGAAGAAAGGGAAAAACGCGAGAAAGAGCGGAGGATAAGAGCGAAAAAGAGGACGCACACAAGGTGCTCCCCGTACACATATATGCGCTCTCGCCGCGAGCGCGGAATCGTCGGGGGAAAGGACGTGGTGGTGGTGGTGGTGGTGGCAGAGGAGAGGGACGGGGAGGCGCGCGCGCGCGACGGAACATTTCGCCGCCGCGACTTGCGTGTACTGTCCAGCAGCAGCAGCGTTCATCGTGAGGAGGAGGTTCGGCGCCGCTACGGCAGCAGCCGAGGATGAGAAGAGCGGCGAGGCTGCCGGCCGCGAGACACTCCGCGACTAGATAGACCCTTCTGGAAGGTTCGCGCGCGCGACGCCGACGCCTCGTCTGTGATCGTCGTCGTCGTCGTTGTCATCGTCGTCGTCGTCGTTATTGTTGTTATCGTCGCGTCGCGCACACGACGACACACGTTTTCGACACACGTGCGAATCGAAATACAACAAGAGACAAGACATACGAGAGACCGCATCCCTGTGGCGCCCCTCTGTGTTTTTCTGCGAAAAGATCTAGAGGATAGAAAGAGAGAAAGGGTTAGGTGAAGAAGAAGGAGAAAGAAGAGTGGAGTGGAGGAACTGAGTGAGGCGGAGAAGAGGAGAGTGGAGCAAGCAGACACATCGCTGCGTTTCTCGGATATTTCTCTCGCAGCTGGCCGCTCGTGACTGTGTGTATACGCGCGCGCGCGCGCGCTTGTGCTTCGTTTCCGCCGTTCGTTCCCCTCCGAGAGAAGCAACGACGTTTTTTCTTTTTTTTTTTTTTTTTTCCGGAGAGCGTAGCTCTCTCGGAATTATTCTGGCTGAATAGGAAGAAAGAGGAACAGAAACGGACACACGGGCAACCTCGACCTCAAACTGAAACGGCGGTGCTTAAAAACGAAGAATGGAATCGTCGTTGTTTTACGGATAAGTCGGTCGGGACACCCGTCTGTGTGTGTTTCCCTGTGTGCGCCGCGTCGTGTGTTTGCGCGCGTGTGTGTGTTTACGTGCGCGCGGTTGTGTCGCAACGTTATCACCCAGTGCGTTATCCGTCACTGTTGCCCGTTGCCTGTCGTCACCGGAGTGCGCGAATACAAAATCCGCGCTTTATAATGCTCGGCGCAGCGCCGGATCGCGCGCGGCACCGCAAGAAAGCAGCGGCCGGGTTTCTACGTTCCGTTTTTATTCGCTGCTCGTCGGACGGTCCGCTGCTCCGCTGAGAGTCAAGTTCGTCGCGCTCCGTTGTGCGCGCTGCCGCGTCCGTGGCGCGCTCTCGCGCGGCGTTCACCATCGTGCTTTCGATTGTGCGTCGCCGTGCCGCGCCGCAGCGTGGGCTTTCTATCTATCTACCTGCCCGCTCGCGCTCGTTCGCCTGCCTGCCTGCCTGCCTGCCTGCCTACTTGCCTGCGTGTGACACGAGAAAGAGAACAGACTGGCGTATGTGGAAGAGGCCCCTAGGATCCTCATTTAGACAAAAAAAGAGACGACCCGGGAGAAAGAGAGACTCTCCGGAGACGAGGTAAAGTGCGCGTTTTGTGTCTCTTACATGCCTCTTTTTTCAAAGAGTTTCGAGCGCGCGGCTCTCGTTCTTCTTTTCAGCGACGCTTTTCTCGCGCATTTCTATTTTTCTTAGCAAACGGAGAGAGAAAAGTTGACATAAACGTTTTATTCTCGCTATCGGCGTTGCCGACGTGAAAAGTGCAACCGAAAAGAATACAGAGCCAGTGTTGTTTTTTTTTTTTTTTAGTTTTTGGTTTTTTTTGTTGTTTTGAAAGGTTATTGCGATGTATCGAATGTGCGCGAGTAACGACCTTCGATCGTAAAAAAATGTTTTAATAATAAAATCTCGTTTAATGTTGGTTAGCGGACGCCATAGTTTACATATTTAACGCAGCGACAATCGTGTTTGTAAATAAACCTGTATGTTCGGTAATAGGCTAATAATTTTATTTGTCAAAACAATTTTTATGTATGATTTGAATCTGGCACGTATTGTCTTTTCAAAATGGTCGATTTTGCCCGTAAGTGTTAGATAGATTCAAGGATTCCAGTCAAGGATTTATGTACTATTCTTAGCGTTCTCTAACCTTTCATGTGTGAAGCACGGAATCAATTTCTTTCCGAGAAAGATTTCAGGGGAAATCATTTTAATTTGCTGCGTAATTTCGTTAAGTTGCAAAACAAGTGCGTCGCGCTTAAAAACAATATCCCCCCGGTGTGTGTTATTTAAATAACTTCCACGCGTAAAATGTCGTAATATGTTCTCGAAAATATGTGCGCAACGCGTTTTGGCGTTTTCTTTTTTGTGTTCCCTCCAAAATCCGTAATTCTCTAAGTGCCTCTTTTTTAGAACAAACCTGCTCTGCGCAACAACGTATTCGGACTTATTTACACGTTTACCTACGTCTGTCCGGAGGGAGAAAGTTTAGTCGCGAGAGAGAACGAGAGAGAAAGAGAGAGAGAGAGAGAGCGATTGATTACTTCATGGTGCGGCTAATATACTTCGAGAAGCCAACAAACATGTCTCTCTCGCCCGCTCTTTCGTCTTTCTCCTCTCACGCTCGCCCGCGGGGGCCGAATCACGATAATGGGAGGATAAAAATTGGACAATGGCAGTGGCACATTCTACGAACGGACACGGGATCTGTTCGTCTAATTTCGGCGGTCTCTCGTGGATATTCTCTCATTTCTGCGTTAAAACTTTTTCTCGCTGTAATGAGCCCGGCGGAGCCCGTCCTAAGGGCCGTGTCACGCGATCACATCTCGCCTAAACCTCCTATTCGAGGAAGGACAATGTATAACGCATTGTGCGCGCGGGCCACACGAAATTGTGTAGGCTTTTTCTCTCTCTGTC